TCCGCCGAAAACATCGCGGACGCAAACGTCGCGGAGAAAACAACGCTAGACGAAAACGTCGCAGTACAAAATATCGCGCGAGAAAAGAAAGTAAAGAGAACAAACACATCGCAGTTTTAAAAAATCGTGGTACAAAATATCGTGGTCCTAATAAAGCGATTCAAAAACTTCGCAGTCTAAAATATCGTGGTAAAAAATAAAGTACCTACAAATCGTCGCAAGACGATGACGTCGCACATATGCGTTTTTCAAGTTTTAAAAATTGTAAGTACATTTCTGAATAATGATCTGGGAACGCAAGAAGCAAAGAGGGATATTTTTATTACTATATTTCATACCTCTGAATGAACTAATAATTTTTTGCCGAAAAAGTAAAAAGGAAACTTAAGCATTTAAAATTGAAAACAAGTAGAAATTTAATGCGGCTTTATAGCACTTGATAGAATTTTGAATTTACATAGTTCATTAATAAAGGTTATAAGGTATTTCTCCCACCTTCTTAGCATACCTTCTTGGTGTACTGGTCAGCACACTCAACGAGAAGTCCGTGGTTCGAGTCCCGGCGAGGGCATTGCTCATTTTTCGTGTCTTCTTCGAAATAACCTAATAGCTCTACAAAGTTATTAATAAATTATTCTTTTTTCATAAAGTTTTACTCATAATTTTTCATGAAAAATACAGTCTAAAAATGTTTAGAAAAAGGAAGATAAATAACTGCATGAGGTTACCACTTAACAAAATGCTTAGTTAATTAACAAATTATTTTCTTTCACGTTTGTTAATCTGTTACTGTTTTAGTGAAAATTATATCTTGTTTTGTTTCCTTTATTCTTAAAGTGTCGTTAACATTGACACCCTCTTTTCTTCTTGCGCTCTAAAATCATTAAGCGAGCACGCGTATGTGCAATGTTATTTTCATGCGATAATTTGTAGTACTTTATTTTTATTAAGATATCTTCGACTACGATGCTTTTAAACTGAGAAGTTTTTTAATCGCTTTATTTTCAACCACGATATTTTGTACGATGTTTTCTCTTTGCTTTCTTTTCTCACACGATGTTTTGTACAATGACGTTTTAACCTTGCTTTGTTTTCTCCTAGACATTTTCGTCAGAAAAGTTTTTTATCGCGATGTTTTCGGCTGTAACTAATTGTTATATTTAGCAGAGAGCATTTTGGCAGCAACTGCTGACCGCCTGAATACTATATTCACTCACCTTCTTAATTAACTTAAATTGGCTTTAGCCTTTGTTATCCATGTTTGTCTGAACTAGGACCTGAATCAAAATTTATAGACATACTTTTTCTCGTTAATATTTTAAATACTTAAGTTTTATTTTAATTTTGTGTTTTGTTAATTATGCAAGCTACGGACTCTTAAATTGATAGACTCAAAATATAATAAAAAGGTTTGCCTCCACGGAGACAGAAGCTAGATTCTGTACAAGTGTAATAAACAATATTTGGTTAGCTTCAAAAGCTACCCGAGAGTTTTCGTAAATCAATTTTCATATCAATTTTCATAAGCAAATTGTCAAGATAGAAATTATTTTGCTTGACAGTAATTACGAAAAGACTGCTGTTAAAGAAAGAAATATAACAATTTTTTAGATTCGCATACTGTGAGCACTTGGTTTCTAGCTAAGATCTGAAACGAGAACGTTTTGTTTTAACTGCCTATATGCTCATATGCCGTGATGCTGAAATTATTAACTGGTTTCCAACAATTTCTGCTTAAAGATCAAGACTGGGAGATTCAACTTTTATTTCTTCCCCATCAAAAGAAAATTCATCTGCATTCGCATCCTTTTGTCTAAACAGTATGCTACATGGCATTAACGATGTTAGAATTGCAGTTACGAGTTCTTTAAGAGATCATACATGAACTTTCCCGTCTTTTGTTTGGAGCAAGATGTATAGCATCTAAATATTAAGATGTGAATAGCTCCTTACCGAAAGAGGTCTGTCTAGAGATGGGCACATGTAAAATCTTGCGTTTAGGATAGGAGTCCAATCCACGACCTTCAGCTCTGCGATGCCCGTTTGCTTTTATCCACTGAAGGCTTCGAATAGCTGTAAATCTGTCCAGAGTCAATGCTCCTTCCTACTTCTTGAAAATATAATAAAAAAAAAACATTTTGTGATCGTAAATGAACTATTTGTCGCAAGGCTTTATCAAAGTCATATTACACAAACCTTTACCTGGCACAGTTTATATAAGTTTTTGTACTTAAAATGTTGTTCTTAAAGTAATATGCCTCTTATACACCTTCCTAATACTTGAAACATTATTTGTCATTTATTTCTTATTTTTACTCACAACACGCACGCAGTGAATATGCACTTAAATGTGTATACGGCTCTACACTCCTTTAAAAGTCAACTCTTAGACAAGCAGAAGACTTATCGTCTAGTCATGACTTCCAATATATAGAGAATAAGAAAGCAGATGATGGTTTAAAATAAACCCTTTTATTTCCTCTTTAAACTGACAGTTATGCAAGCTATTTAAATAACAGTAAATCAAATACACATAGCTTGCGGGAAATTCATAATAAGTGCTGAATTAATATTAAAATATTAAATCTCAGGAAACATGCGCCTTCAAATTTCATCTCAGTCCTCATTTTTACGAGGCAATTACTGAAGTCAAGTTATTCAGTTGCAGGTTAAATTAGCTAAGTGAGAGTGAGCGACAGAGGTCAAAAGCTCTCTCTCTGAAACTCAAAAACTCTATACTTAAATGCATTAAAGTATTTGTATATTTCAACTAATTTGCATCCTAGTCCAGCCGATGAAGATACAGACGAAGTAATAAGATGGCCGGTTAATTAACATAACACTTTACAAAAGTATTTAAAGATAGCCACCATTATATACTTATTTTCAAAATTAAAATCATCAAAATACATAAAAACAGCAATTAAAAAAAGTAAACATTTTCAATACTTTAACCAAGGCTAAGGATGATATTGTGAGTGGTTTTCTTCTTTCCGCGGCCTTTTTATTTCCTTTTGAGATACCACGTCCTGCGATCAAACGTCTCGTTATTTCCAAGGATGCTTGAGTATCATCGATTAATGAAGTGTAGTTGGCAATGTGATACGCGCAATTGTTTTTCCTTTGTCATCTTATGGGAACCTACTCCATGTATTTCAGGCTCTTTTCTTATTTTTTCCTCTTATTGCTTGGTATTAGTAGCTTTATTCGCCTTGCTGGAATTCTTTGAAGACAATGTTTAACTCTCTTTTCTTATTTTTATACGGAAAATATGTTCTAGTTATTACTATTATACTATCGATCATTTCCTGCCCAAGGTTTTATTGTTCAAGTTTTAAGAATGTTACCTCACCCTAGTAAATTATGGAGCAATCTCAAACTATTTCTTGTTATAAATAAGAAGTATATTATATATATATATTTATTTAAAAGAATTAAATTTTATAGCTTCAACATTTTAAATTAATTCGTCCAATATGCTAGAATAGGGTTCGTAGGCTTCTTATTCTTTTACAGTGTTGATCCACAGTATAATTTTAATCACCTAAGAAATACGATCGTATAGCTCCTATTAACCGAGGTTGCACTTATGAGAGGAACCCTGTGAAGGTGATGAACTGTTTCCTTTGTAACTTATAAATGCTTTGTCAATTTTAGTTTAGGAGCGCCGAGAGCATAGAAGAAATGTTTATAGAATGCATTGAACATTATCGAAGCAAAACAGCACTGAGAAACTATATCCCCGATATTTTGCGCTGAGGTGATTGCGTAACATCGCAAATAAGAAATTAAGAACTGCCATCAAGCGAAAGAATTCTAAATAATAAATTTAAGTTATAATGAATTTTATTATCAAATTATGTATTTTTGTTACCTTATTACATGTTCTAATTCAGTTACATAAAACCATTCATACAGAATTGTAACTAGAAAGCATGACCGTTTTCATTCTTAAAATCAATATGGCAGTAACTAGTTACATAGTTGTTATGTATTAATTGCTATTATTTTCACGCTTAAGTTTTGCTTACTAATTCAGTTTTGATCTGTAATTGAAGTTCTAAATTTTTTTGCTTTAGTTGTTTAAAGTTGGTGTAAGTTTAAACTGTAACTTTTGTAAACTTTAAAATTAAGGTTTGGTTGCTTTAAAAGTTTTCTTAAGTTGTTTTGCTTTAATTTGAGTTTAGGGACTAAGTTTACTTGGGTTTTATGCTTTTGTTTTAGACCTTAAGGTTGTTTAACTTTTAACTTTAATTAATTAAGTTTTATTGCTGCACTTTTAGTGTGTGAATTTTTTTTTAACTTAAGTTAACTTTTTTTACCCCTCTTTCTATTAAAGTTGTTGAACACATATTTTCTGACTGGCGGTAAGGTAAATCAATAGTAATTGAAATTCAATCTGGGTATTGAGTATTTATACTTAAAATACTGCTGAAGAAACAATTTATATAGTGCTGACATTTTTTAATGAATTATATTGTTATGTAATAGTTTAATTTTTAATTTCCCAAATTCGTTTGTATTGACTTGGTTCTGAAAATTTTCACACACCAACCCTCGGCCTGGAATTCATTCTCAGTATCCTTTTATCAGAGGATTACTGCACCCCGAAATTCTTTCGCCCAAACGAAAAACCACATGTGCGGGTGACGTGTTGGATGTATACACCATCTGAAGAGATCTTAAAGAGACCTTAGTCTGACCATCTTAAAGAGGACCCCGTTTTGCTGGACAGGCGAGCAGAGAAAGGTTCTACAGCGTATTTTGAGGCGGAGGAAATAATCGTTGGGTAGGAAGCTCTACATGGTCGAATTGGACCTCGTTGCGAGGCTAGATATCCCTCCCCTTGTTTTCGTCTGCGGAGATTGTTGACACATTTGGTGTGGCCTTGGAGGCCGAATGATTGAACTGCGCTAACTGGCTCTTCTGGTAGTCGGGAAACCCCTTCCCGTGAAGATTTCTCTGTTTGGGTTGCAGGACTTGGCTGGGGTTGCTGTTCACTTTCTACGCCAAATTTTCAAAAAACGCGCCAGCTATTAAAGTGGCTGCGCAGTATTTTCGAGGGAAGAGGAGGAAAGGATTTTCGATGACACTTTTTTTTTTCCTAACGAAGGAGACGGAGTGAAGATTTTCGATTAAACCTTTTTATCCTGACGGAGCCAAGGAGACGGAGAAAGAAATTTTCTCGAAGTAAAAGGAGCGAGAGATGACTTCTAAGATGCAGAGCGGAGACCAGCAGTCCGGAGTCCCTGGTGTAATGAACGATTAAACAACCTACACAGAAGGAAGGCGTATTGAACCAAGAATTCCTGAGTATTTACTGACTTCAGTATGGCCGATGTTTTGGGGAAGACCGGAGTCCTGCCGGTTGGAAGCGGCTGTGGGGGGTGGGGGAAAGTCGGGCCTCCAAAAGAGCTGCCCATTATTAATTCTCATATTTTTTTTCTTCTTTCTTGCAGATTGCAGTTGTATATTCAGACGTTTAATTATTATTACCTGCATCGTGACAGTATCTGTCTGAGTTTTTCGCCTGTATCAAGAACCCAAAATTTTGTATGATGCCTCCCAAACGGGAACGGTGAACTGTTAAATATGTAAAGAAGGTATGTAAAATTTCAGTTGATACAGTATTGGTTGAAATGTTTTTGTTATGTTACCCATATACATACATTTACCTACCACAAAATTTGGTATGAACATTGATTACAAAAATTACACAGAAATGTTGTTAAGTAGTAAATAATACATTTGGAATTATATTATGTATATTGTTTATGTAACATAGTACATGACATACTCTGAAATAAGTCTGAACACATATTTGTCTCTGCTATATCACATTGATATCACTATAGTAGAGGGTACAACATTTAGCATTACATATTCTCAAAGTAAGGTAACACGCTGTGTCCATCATTCAATACAACTGAGCATGGTAAGGTAAATCAGTGCCTTGCGTTCGCAAAACAAGCCTCACATCTGCAATACGACGTCTTAAAGGGTCTTAAAGGGAACAAGCATATCATTGGGGGCTAAGTATCACCAAGTACATTTGCATAACAAGCACCCTGCACTTCGTAACTTCTATCATTTTATGAATTGTCATCAAATCCTTGTAGACACGCCAATGGACTTCCTTGCCAGGTTTTATTACTTCCTTCTGCTGGTTGGAGTGGTGAGAGGAGGAAGGGGCTTCGGCCCTTTTCCGCGCTACTTTTATTCATATTTCTTCGCAATTTTTTTCTCCAAATTTTCGCAGATATAAGTAAATTTATATATTGGCTCATTCTGAAATTTGGCACATTGGTCATAAGGGATAGTTACGCCAAAAGTGGTTTGCTGATACCTTAGCGAAAATTGCGTTGTTGCTGTTGTCTGATAGTAACATCAGAACAAGTCCATGAAAATCATCATGGCAAGGAGAGCAAGATTGCGTCTTTCGTTGGCAAGAACCTGGAGCACCATTCATGGTGACAGTACGGCTTCGCTCAGTTTTGCTCCCAGTTTTGATGGACAGCACCCCGGGGGAACGAGGGTCTCCTACTTCTCTTTCCCTACCAAAACCTCTCGAAAAGACTTTCTGCTCGCCATATATTTAGATTGCTCCCATGCCACAAAGACACTGTATATTTATAAACATCCATTTCCTCTCCGGGATTCGAAAAGGGGCCACCAGGTATCGCAGTAAGCTCTGCTAACTACTATATCGTCTGGGCGCAAAGCGAAAATTGTTCCTTACGGAGCACATCCTGGCTTAACTGAGTAAGAAACAATTTTCGTTACATATTATTACCATCTCCAACGAATTTCAACAGTTAGTTTGAACCTTAAATTTCCAATTAAACTTTTACTGTGTATTATTCATATGTCTTCACTCTCATTTTTATTAATGATGCGTACTAAAATATTTATTAATAATATATGAAGTGTTATTTTTTTTAATTTTCAAAAAATATCAATTAAAAGTTTAAATTTATTTTCTTTTTTTAAGAGTAAATTCTTATCTTTAATTTTATTATCTGTTATTTTAATTAACTTCATTTTATATGGAACAAAACATACTTGCAAATTTAAAAATAGAGCAGCACATATATATTTAATTCTTCTGAATGCTTCGAACACTACCCAAAAATATTGCAAATAAAACACGCTGTTTTTTTTTTTTCTAGGAAAATGTTTAACAATTAACAACTGAAAAATTTACTAGACTATAAAATTTTTCTTCCTTTCTTCGCGTCGCAAATAAAATAAAAAGAAATAATTCTGATGATGTTTTATATTCAAAGATATTCTGTAGATTGCATAATATAGTATTATTTTTAAACAATTTTTTTTATATTTGAAAGGCAGCATAACCTCTCCCCACACAGACACTTTTTTAAAGCCTAGTAATATTTTTGTAAGAACATAAGTTTAAGAATAATCACTTTTTTAAAGCTCAAAATGGGATATAACTCATATATATATATATTCAATTCTATAAATAACAAATTAACCACTGAAATTATAAAAGTTCAAAGGTTATGTAGAAATCATTCGCTGCTGTTTTGGATTTGATAACCATTGAGACCCTGATCTTTATTACATAAATCTATGAAAATATTTTTAATAAAAATTAAACTAATTTTTTATTCTAAAATGAGGTTAAAAAAATTAACCTGTTACTGCGGGCTTTCCGTAACAGTTTGTTTGATTTAATGCACACATAATGTGAGGATTTCCGAAAATCCTTATGTTACAAAGGAGTTGAAAGGGAATAGTCCAAATGTGAATGTTTGTTGTAGGATGCTACGTGAGAAGATTTAAGTACGAGTTTTCTTTCGTGAACAAACAGTAACAACCAAAGTTTACTTCGATACATTGATTAAATACGTTTGGCATCTGTTGGAGGATCGTCAGCCAGAGCAAACAATGTTCGTGCACCGAGGTTGTGAAACTTGCGTCTCTTATCACAAAATTTTTTTAATTTTCTTGTCAGTGAGATCAGTACCAAAAATGTACATCTTTCCATTTCCAAAAAAACAAGTTGTTGAAGTTGTCCAGGACTTTTTGTGAATACCCTGTTTAGTAAATGATTATTACTGTTACATTTATTTTTCTCATTATTATTATTTCTGTCAAACATTGTGAAATAATTAAAAATAAACTAGCTTAAAACTAGACGCTGTGTCCATCATTCAATACAACTGAGTTTAAAATAATTTCAAAAATTTAAAATGGCAGTCGGTTTCTGTGCATATATTGCTAATCTTACATCGGTCAAGGTTTTGACACCTGCAGTTCTACTCTTTCTGGTCAACTCCACGAAAAGGTCAGGGTACACCGTCTTCAGTCAGGATCATAAATTAAAGAACATATGCCACATCGTATAACAACGTCTTTGAGAACTGGGAGCCTGCCAGGAAAAAGAGTAATAAATTAAAGATTTTTCTATCTCATAGAATGACAACACTTACCAAATGTGAACGATTAACTGTCCTGTTGGCAGAACACAACGTAAAGCAATAAGTCAAAAAAAATATAAAAAATAAGCCGCAGGCGTTTCTCACGTCAAAAGATTTATGAACCTTAAATTCGGTGAACATATTTCACATATATTAGGCTTGTTAGTGGCTGAGTGATTAAGGCCTCTGAAAACTAGTAGTTTGAGCCATATTCAAGCCTCGATGAATGGGCCAAATGTATCAGTGTTTTCGTGGTTTTTCATCTTGTGTAACGTGAGCACGAGCCTGTTTTCCTCAAAAGGTACTCCACAAAGACATCCTTCCCCTTTAGACAAATGACTAACGTGTGCTTTACTGTACTCAAGTAACCTAACCTAAGTAGTTTAAACATAAAGGCTTGATAATTAAGATTTCCTCGTTAAATTCATGTATAATTAAAAATTCTATTATCTGTCTAATTATCTAAATAAAAAAACGATACGGTTTACTTACAGTTACAATATAAAAACAGTTTCATATGGCATACTGAATACATTATGAACAAATCACACTGTACAAATTATATACAAGTCACACTTGCTTATAAAAATGTAACACTGTAAATAAAAGGATGTTTTAGGTTTTCTGAGAAATCATTTAGAATAAGATTGCATATTCAATCAAAATGAAACATAACCATTTATGCATTTTCTTTTTATCGAGGTCATTTCTCTATTCTTCTTCCGTTTTAAACTTTTCTTGACTTTAAGAATTAACATCACTTTAGAAGAAGGTAGGAATGATAACAAAAAAAGAAATAAATGACACTGGTTATGAACTAAAACGTGTCTAAAAACGCATCTTAAGTTATAATCTATTGACTCTACGAAAATAATACGGAGAGATTCATTGGAATATTTCCAAGATATTTTCATCAAAATTCAATAGATACCCAGGATAGAAGTATCCAGATTCTTTATTTTTCAAGATAAACTTTTCAGTTATTTACTTTTTCATTGCTGTACTTTATGACATATGATATATTGTATGTCAATAAAGTTTACATCAAAATGCATTTTGTTATCCAGAGAATGAGAAGAAAAATGTGTTTGCGTATTACAAAATCTAAACTTCTAAGTGCATCGATTTTTGCTGCACTATAAAAATTTAAAGCATAATTTAATTTTCGATTTCCATCACCGAAAGTAAAAATAGATTACCATAAATAAACGTCTGATGTTCATATGCGATAATGCATTTACTTTCGATGCTGGAAAAGTCTGCTTAGAGGTTTGTTTATTACTGACACTTAGCATAAAATATATAATATTGATTTAGTTATTTTTAATAGAATTTAATTAAAATTGTTTTATATTACCGTGCAATGCAGCACGAGACTTATTTTAAAAGAAAACCGGAAAATTAATAATACAAGAGCACGTGCATTTAACATTTAATAAATAAATATCTCTTTTAATTTATATTTAATTCCAATAAATGTTAATTGACTAGCTGTAACCGTAATTCTACTCTTTTTGCTTTCGAGAAATTGATAGAACAATCTTATGCGGCCGCCGATTTAAAAAGCTATAAAAGCCAGAGAGAGAACATCTCAGCTCAGTTGCTTTAGAAAACTGTTGTTGTTTATTGTAGCCAATTCGCGGCGAGATTGGTTGAACGTTTGAGTAGTTTAAAAGATAACTACTGTGAGATATTGCAATATTGTACGAATATCGGAGGAAATTTAAGCATTTTGTTTAATTTGCTGTGATAATAATAAATTTTATTCTCTTTTCACTTGTGCATTCAATTTATTACGAACCCGTACGCACCCAACAATATATATAAAGTGTAAAAATTAAATAACGAAAGTTAAATATTTAATTAGTACAATTTTTTTTTTAATTTAATAAGGTTTGCAGGATTTTACTTTATTTTTCTAATAGTTATTTTTATTTTAAGATAGCTTTCCTTTACTTCTTCATTTCCTGCCTACGCTTTCCTAACAGAATGAGTTTTCAGTTTTCCGCTTTATGTAGACTAGGGAAGAAACTACTGTTAATGCCTTAGTCTGAGGTACTTCAGTTAGAGAGAAAGTGAGAGAGAGAGAGAGAGTGTTCTGTCTTTCGGCCACGTTGTTGCTATGAGTTAAAGCATGCTAGTTTACGGCCGCGCTTATT